TAAAACTAAAATATTCTTAATTAGCGTAAATATAACTTTTTTTTATTATACCTACATTTATTTCTTTAATTCATCGTTGTAAGCACTTTCGATTAGTATTTATTCTGTCACAAAATAATAGGGTACCTTGTTCGTGAAGTATCGATACTCCTGTATATTTAAATAGATATTCAATTATGCAACAAAGTCCATCAAACCGAAGGTAACAAACCTTTGAACGCGCAATTAGTTTTGGAATATAGACATGAACAAATTCACAAACGGGCAAATAAACTTGCATTTTTACTTTCCTGTAACCAGTATAGCAATCATAATTTTTGTTTAATCTCGAATTTTCGTGGATTTTTGCGTTTTGGGGTTCCCTGAATCCGTTTTGACGATTTTTGCGATGTTGTCTGACTGTGTGTGTCTGTACCCACGATAACTCAAAAACGGATACGGAGTAAAATATTAAATTTACTGCTTTAAGGTGTATGTGTATACTTTTGGTCCTACACATTTCTGTAAAGTTGAAAAATTTGAGGGAAAGTGGTAAATTTGAATTTTTTCGTTGGCAATGAAGATATAAAAAAGTTTCGAATAAAATGTGTGAGAATTTTTTTTTATCTACATTCATATTTAAACTTTTATTTATTAATTATATTACATGGGCACACATCATGATATATTGCTTAATAGCGTCAACAAATGCTGTTCTCAAGGCTTAGAATCACATATCACCAAATATTATTGTAACAATTTCTGTAATATTTAATTGGTAGAAACCATTTTTTTTAACTACATCCAAATATCAGGTAAAGTTAGATATCCACCTTATATTAAGATTAACAAGAAAAAGAATAAATTAGGGGGAGTCTTGAGCTCCATATTTAATAATATACGTCAATTGCGTGGGGAGTGTACGATTATTTTAAATTTTATATTTTTTATATTATTTATATTTGGAAAGAGGACTCAAAAGCATTTTGAAAATATAGTATAAAGGGGATTTAATAAGATTTGGGCACCTTGTTTTTTTTGTAAATAAATCAATTTACTCGTATTTGTAATAATAATTACAAAATTGAATATTTGTTTTCAATACTACCGATTTTTTAATTTTATTTTTATTATAAAAATTAGTTCATATTTCCAAAAATTATAAATTGGTAATATTTGACGGAACACGTAGCATTCGTTCCAAAGATTTATTATGATTTAATAAAAGCTCTATCCGAATGGAAAAGAATTTGCTAAACATTAAGTTCATATAGAATATAAAAAAATTAAATAAAAGAAGAGAATAAAACGCATTTTGATAAAATCAAATATTTTTAGACTTGCATAATGTTATATTTTTTAAACAGGAAATTCTGATAATTAAATTATCTAACCGTAATGGAATTTTTAAGATTTTTACCTCTTAATTTGGGTGACTCATTTTATAGATTGGTTTAGCAAAAAGTGAGATCATCATAAAAATTAATTTATTATATTGTATCTCAGAATCATTCAGGACAAAAAATTAATCTTCGTGTAATAATTGAATCTTTTAGATCAGGATATGGTTGTGTGGATCAGGATATGGTTACAGGTATTACATACAGTTCTTTTTTTTAATTTTAATAGTACCTACCCACGTTGTATTTACGATGTATGTTAAAACTAGAAAGTGAAGAATATGTCTATATAATATATTTATTTTTTATTTTCTTCGAGAGATAATATCGTAGATAAGTAATACACTATTAAAAACATGTAAATTGTCTGTATGACATTTAAGACCAATGAAATACGGACCCTAGACGATTATTACTGCATTTGTAAGTAAACCGGTTTATGTAAGATGTAAAACCAAAGAAATATTTTCCAAATAATATAGCAACAGAAAAGTGGACTCCCTAGGTTTATTAAAAAAAATCAAAATGTAATGATCCTTGTTTAACTTAATTCATCTAACATATTCATTTTGTGTTATAAAAACAGCCTATAATTTTCACAAAGCAATTATTTGTAGTATTCTCGGGCCGCCGCCGCGCCGTCAAGATAGTTAATAATATAAATAAAGAAACTGAGTTACTGGAGGTGGAGGAAAACGAAATGCATTTAATTTTATATGGAAAAGATAAACTAGGTAGGTATTTGACTTAGATTTATTATACAAAAACAAGCCACGAAGATGGAGAAATAATATAATGAAAACATTGGTTGATGTATTAAAGCATTTCTTGAAACTTGGAACTAAGTATCTAGTGCCCGTAATGAAAGAGTACTAACACCACAACGCATTATATTCTATTTTTATTTAGATAGGTACGTTCATTTTTATTTCACAGATTATAATATTTAATAATTATTAAATTACTAGATACATTACAGATAATGTAGGTAGGTACTTTTTTTTATTTCACAGAATATAATATTTAATAACTATTAAAATACTAGAGACAGTTCATCTCCTTAAATTAACTATACAGTGAGCATCATAACTAACTCGTTACTGGGGTCTTGTTAGGAAAATCGCCGAGACAGGTCGATTTTTCATTTCTACAATGTACATTTTTGCATTATTAGTTTACCCTTAATTTTATCCCTTACTGGAGGGTAGCAACCCTTTTGAAAAATTTAAATGGCATGGGGTGGTGAGTGATAGCTCATTTGAAAGATGGTTTTATTCTCTATTCAACCGTGCAAAAAAATTTGAAATTTGCTTTTCTAAAAAATGTTTAAATATTATAGGATGCTTTGTTAGAACCACAGTTTCTTTTTAACAACTATGCTACATTTTTAAGGCTGTTTTTTTGGCTTTTGATATATTATAAAACTTTTCGAAAAATTTACAATTTTTTAAAAAATAGGTTCGGATGTTATTTTTAGGCTCTTGAAATATAAATCTTGAAAAAATTATATTTCTTTGCTTTGCTGCTAGCTTCAAACGAACCACCACCCTTTTTAAAGGTTTTTTCTAAAAACAGCCACAACACATGTTTAGGCTTTTCAAATATGTAAAACATTCAGAGAAAATTAATTTGCTATTTTAACAAAATGCGTGGAACGAAGCCAGAAGAGCACCTCAGTATTTTTTCTAAAAACAACTATGCCACATTTTTAGGCCCTTTTAGGAAAAAATTTTTAATTCGCTAGATTCGAACGAATCTAACAGAGCACCTCGATTTTTTTAGTTTTTTTTTTTAAAGATCACACCACATTTTTAGGCTATTTTTAGGCTGTTTTTAGGCTCTTGAAAGATTATAATAGAAAACTCCGAAAAAAAATTGTGATTTAAAAAAACGAAGTACTCTGCTATTCTTTTTTTTTTATAGAAAATGTTTTCGGAATGTTTTAAAAATATTTGAAGAGACTAAAAATAGTCCAAAACAGATGGTATAATATTAATTTTTAAGAAAAACTATGAAATAATATTTTTTAAAAAATGGCAATATTTATGGAATACTTAATATACTATAATATTTCAAGAGTATAAAAATAACCCAAAAATTTGGCATAGATGTTTAAAAAACCGAGGTGCTCTATTGGCCTCATTCGAAGCAAATTATTTTTAAAAATATTTTTTTTTTTTTCGAAAAGCTCTAGGTATAATAGGTATCTTAAGAACCAAAAAATAGCCTAAAATTGTTAAAAAAAAAAAATAAAATAAAAAACAGGTGCTCTTCTACTGGCTTTGTTCCAGCAAACCACCCTGCCTAATTCAAAAATAGGAAGTTTTTATAAAATATAAAATTTCAAGAGCCTAAAAATGTGGTGTGGTTGATTATAGAAAAAAAGCTGTAAAAAAGGTATTCTGCTAGCTTCGTTAGAATCTAGCATATCACCCTATTTTTTAAAATGTCAATTTTTTTCGAAAAGTTTTATATTTCAAGAGCCAAAAAATAGCCTAAAAATACGGCGTGGTTATTTTTATAAAAAAACAGAGCTGCTTTGCTATCTTCGTACTATTGGATTCTAATTAAGTGTTGTTCGTTGTTCCTAAAGTGGCGCTGAGAAACAGTAACAATAACACACATTAATGAAGAAAAATCAAATTAAACTGAGACTGGTTAATCAAGTAGATAATAGGTATTAAAGTCATATAACACTTAATAATAAAAAACTATTTTTGAGTCCTATAAAATTTTGCTTTCCAATCAATATTCTCATTTTCCTCTAAACTCATTTTTTGAAGATCTGACTTCTTTAATTTGTTTAGTGATAATGCTTCGCTGTGTACTAGAATTTTGAGGAATGTTTAGTAGGTACTAAAATACCTAATAATTTGTAATAACAACGTACCTAAATGATTAAAAAAAAACATTTCAAGTATTAAAAGTACATCCTATTATGTATATTTTCAACCATTAGGCAAATAAACAATTCAAGAACAGGTGAGACTTCACGGAGCTATACTTCACTGTCAAGAAAGACACTTTTATTTTGTGAAAAAAAAAAAAGACTAGAATCTATATTTTCTTGTTAATTTTCCACTTTATTCTAAACTCTTGCATATAAAATTTTGTTTTTCAGAAGTCAATAATCAATCAAATTTTTGATAGGTATTCCCTTTTGAAAATCAAAATAAAGTACCTAACTATTTTGAAGACAAATTACTTTTCTCATCTCACATAATCACACTTTGGTTATACCTAGGTATGTACTTATAGATAAGATAGGCTAACCAAGAACAATAAATATCATAGGTACTATTTTTAATTGCACTGTTAGAGTGAGTTAAGTCATACCCTTTTGAAAATGTTATTTTAAAAAATTTTCAAAGTTTGGTAACGATAGGTATTTGTTGAGGTACCTACCTATATGTACAGTACCTACCTATCTGTCAAATAATAGGTATTCAGTATTTTCTTATTATTTATTTAAACAAACTACCCAAGATGTCGTCTTTAAATTTTAGTCAGTTTTCCAGAATATACTATTTAGGTATAAGTGCATATTTAACTCAACATTTAAAAAAAAATGAAAAGCATTTCAGTATTATAATATAATAAATATTTAACGAAAATTCCTACCAGTTTGCTGGACACCATGGTTGTTCCCAATCAGTATCCAAAGGTTCCAAATAAAAAAAAACAAATAGCACTAAAGTCACACTTTCTGTTTACCACATAAAAACCGAACCGGCAGACGTTCTCGTAGTGACTCAATAAAATAAAAATTTGCAGCCAGTCTGAAACGAGTCAAGATCGCCAACATTCAAGTCGATCAAGTATGCGAGCCGTTGAGAAGACAAAAGGTGAGTAAAATACAACGTTGCCTACCTAGCGGTTCACGCGAACAGTATAGTTGGAGAAAAAGATATAGTGTGATTTAAACCTTTAAAGCCAGCCGGCAAACATACAAAAAAAAACTAAGGAGACTGATACATCACCTTTAAAAATAGTAGATAAATACGAGGCACGATTAATTTACTGCATAACACACTGAAATAAAATAATAAAATTTGTGTTGATCGCTCCCTGTATGCTTATTTGAATGGTCCACATGGACTGGACATCTACCTGTCAGCAAATGTTACCTCCCACGTTTAATACGGCGCATGTAATTGGTCGCTTCCAAATTATTATTGGTCAAATTCTTGAATACTGTATTCAGAAATGTGCAAGAAATTGAATTGTGACATGTGGCACGACCCAGTGTCGTAACATCGAAAGTTTTAGAATTTCGAAATAAATGCCGCGTTTGAATAATATCCACATCGGATGCATCTGAGATGTTGTGAATTTTTTGTCACGTTGTAAAGGATTAGATCTAAATGTAGATGTTAGTGATGGGACTATTCGAATACAAATTATAAAAGTATTCGATTCTAGCGTGCATTCGACCCGACTAAAATTACAAAGGAAGCGTAATTTACTAATTTTAATTTAACATACCTAGTACTTTAGTAGTTCTGATTGCGGCATATTACGTAAATATTTTTAGAAGTATAGGAATTTTGGGATTTATTATTTTATGAACAAGTCATAACTTAATCAATGAAAAAAAAAAGTGGCAGTCACGGCGATACATATTTGCCGACACCGACCTATAAAAAAATGGTTATTATTTATTCAATAATAATCCATATATTATTAGATAGAACAAATCGGTAGGCGGCACCTGAGACAAGAACTGAGACTGCCGAGAGCACTAGGGAACTCGAGTCGAGAGGCTGAATCGCTTGTGCTTGCGTTTATTTTCATGTCGCTGACGCTGACCTCGAAACGAAACGTAAATAATTCGATTCTTTTGTATTCGAATAATTGCTCGATTCTCAAAAGTAATCGAATTCAAAATGTTCGATTCTGAAAAACATCCGATTCTCCCAACACTAGTAGATGTAATAAACAAAAGCTCTAGACTTTATATAATAATATGATGTATTTTATGTAGGTTCTATAAGAAATGTACCTAAATAAAATAATCATTTTTCATTTATATTGTTCCATTGCACGCCTCTGCCTCGAGCCAGTCCAGTTTTACGTTTTTATGGCTATTTATACTCACTTCGTATAGACAATTTAGTCAAGCGAACATCTTCTTAGGAGTACATTCAACACGATGGAGTTATGGAGGCCTTGGGATAACAATGGTAATAATAATAATAACAATAATATTATTAATAATAATAATATTAATAATAATAACAATAATAATAATATTTTAGAATTTGATAACGACCGTAATATTTTAGAATGTGAAACCGACGCCGAGTTTGTGATGTGCAATGACAAAGGTGAAAATTTTGAGTGTAGAAGTGACGGTGGTAGTTTTGAATGTGATTGTGGTAGTGATTTAGATGAAGAGCTCCCAGTCAAGAAAAAACGAAGTCATTTGAATTATCAAGCACAGAAAATATGTTTCAACGTGTACATAAATCTGCACGAGAAGTTTGGTTTCGACACAAAAATACTATTACAAGCAACATCTGATTTAACTGGAATACCTTGTTCAACCATATCAAAATTAGTAAAAAATGGACCTTATGAACGCAAGAAGCGATGTGATATCGGATTAACTAAGCATTTAAATACATCTTTGGTAAAAATATTGAAAACAACTATATACGACAGTTACAAGAACAATGAGATACCTACAATTGAAATAATAAGAAAAAAATTGGAAAACACGGGATATAACTTGGGCTGCTGTGACAGAACTCTTCAGAACTGGTTGAAGAAAATGGGATTTAAATTTAAAACAATAAATAAACGGCAAGCAGTTATGGAAAGCAAGAGAATAATCGATATTCGTAATGGATACTTAGAACAAATAACGAAATATAGACAAGAAAATAGACAAATTTACTATTTGGATGAAACATGGTATGACACGCACGACACAGTTAAGAAGGGATGGACAGATGGATCAAGGAAGTGTATGCCCGAAATGCCAGCAAATAAAGGATCACGGCTGGTTATTTTACATTGCGGAGGAAGCGAAGGTTGGGTTCACAATTCATTGAAGTTATGTGGTAAAAAAATGGAAGACTGCAATGTTGATTATCATAAAAACATGAACGCCGACATCTTTGAAGAGTGGTTTGAAAAAACATTAATTCCAAACTTGAAGCCAAGAAGTGTAATAGTTCTTGACAACGCTTCCTACCATTCACGACAGCTCACTAAGATTCCAAATAAGAACTCTACGAAAACGGATATACAAAATTTTCTAATAGACAATGATTTGTATTTTCAAGACAGCTATAAGAAAGAAGAACTTCTTAAAGTTTTACGGACGAAACAATTTAAAAAAGTATACGCCATAGATAGTATTGCTGAATATCATGGACATACTGTATTGAGACTTCCCCCTTATTTTTGTATTTTTAATCCCATCGAGCTAATTTGGGCGCAGCTGAAGCAAAACGTTAGACGTAAAAATACATTTCCAAAATTCGACACGAAGGTAATTGATTTAATTAAAGAAGAAGTATCGAATATTACCAAAGAAGATTGGCAGAAAAGGATTAAAAAGGTGATCAAATTTGAAGAGGATTATATGAAGATTGCACATTTTCATATTAATGGTGGAAATAAATTTATTATTGATTTGAATGAAGATAGTGATAGTGAATTAGAGGATATGCAAGAAGGAGTAATAGAAGAACTGGAATTAGAAGAAAATTAATGTTTTTTAATTAAGTGTATTGTCGTGTTATTGATATTTAACCGTTACCGTAAGAGCTGAGCATTGAAAAAATAACTTTTTATTTATTTTATATATTGTTTTACCTTTAAATTCCTACCTTTCAAAACCCACATCTATCCATATTATGTAATTAATGTTTTAGTTTTATAGAATATATATTTTTTTATTTTTAATTTTACCCTTTGTCCGTAGTCCCAATTACCCATTCCCATCCCGGCGAGGAAAGTGCTCTTACCTTCTCGTGGTCCTCGCTGAGAAGTAACAATTTGTAATGAGAATTTCATAATTGGGTGGATATAATAACAATAATCTCTCCAAAATTTACCCCCATAATAGTCAACAGAAATCTATATTTATTAATTACCTACTACAAGTTAGATAGATACCTTAGATACCTACTCTAATTAATATCAAAAAGTGCACATTTTTACAAATTGTTGCTTGCGAAATTGAGTGCCTCTACATTATTTTAAATCCATATTTCATTCATTTCTCATTCATTTATTTTTTATAAAACCACCATGCTGTTGTTTAATATTTATCAATTTAAGAACTTCTTTAATCTTCATTCCAGTTTGAGAAGTTTTTACACAGAACTTCCCTCTATATTATGACGTGCTAATATTTCAGAGTATGATCCCTCAGGTCATTTTATAAAGTTCATAATATGAACATAGTCCGCAACTGCATACATTTTTCGATCTACTTTTATTATTTTCAATTTTGGTAGATATGTGTTAATAGGTTTTATATCCTATTCACATGCTAAAATTAAAAATTATATCTAAACTATTTTCAGAGATTTTAAAAAACAAATGTTCATATGAACTTTTCTTCATAAAATAACCTGAGGAATCACACCCTATAATATGAGCATATCATTCAAAAATACCCTGTATAAATTGTAAAAACAGGGAAGCCATTTTGAATTTTTGAAAAGTAGGTAATTTATGTCTGTTATCTTAGATCAGATACCAATTTTAGTCTAAATCTACTGACTTTTAAAATATATGTTTTTTTAACTGCTCACCCTGTATATATCGGCATACAAAAAGTTTTTTTCCCAAGCCGTTTTTGAGCTATCGCGCCAACAGACAGACGGCAGACAACAGACGCCGGACGGCACATAGACCTACTGAATGGGGAAAACATGTTTTTCGTATTCTAGGGATCCGAACACGTGAAAATCTAAAATATTCTCGTAGGGTGACTTTTTCACGATTACAAAACTTCCCTTTTATCGAGGAAAGTACAAATAAAATAAGTATACTCAATCTCTTGAATGCTCCTCTACTATTTTTTATTGGGATGTATCAGGGGTATCAGTTTCCTTAGTTTTTTTTTGTATGTTGTCGGCTGGCTTCAAAGGTTTAAAGTCACACTATATCTTTTTCTCAAACTATACAAACAAGTTGATATTACCTACCAGATAAAATGTATAAAATAAATTATATATTATTGTTGAGTCAGAGGTAAATACCTAATTTAACTTTTATTTGATTGATAACTATAATCTAATTATTAAATTCATAATTTTGTCATAAAATAGGAAGTAATAACTAGTTTATCAGTTTCGCCGTATACCTACACCCTATCGGAAATACAAAAACATATTCTAAATAGTAGTTGTTAAAAATACAACCACCTGTTATAAATTTATTTTCAGAGATTTAACAGTAGTTTTACTAATTTGGCAACGTTGGCAAGAGTACCGACAGACAGATGTTTGTGTAATTTGTAGCAGTGTAAAATTCAGCCAATGACAATCAAGCGTTTCAAATTGAATTTTCAACCGGCTTTTAGGCATAACCGTAACGCAACAAGTATTATTTCTTAGATTAGAATATAAATATTCTAAGATTCATCATTCCGTTGAGGTGGTTTTGACAGTTGTAGATGTCGCTAGTCTTAATAGTTCAGTTCAGTAGCGGATATATCAAATAAGGTACTTGCAAGATTAAGCTCTGTAATGCCAAAGAAGGCAGCAAAGCACCTCGGGAATTTTGAATTGAAACATATGCCCCATTTTTAGGCTTTAAGGCTATTTTTATACCCTATTCAAAAATTTTATGCTCCTCGTTTTTTGCAAAAATCAAGGTGCTCTGCTAGCTTCGAACGAAGTCAGCAGAGCACCTCAGTTTTTTAAAGCTTTTTTTCAAAACCAATGACAC